TATAATTTTAAAGAAATTAATGAGTATTAAATTTTATGGAAATGTTTAGCTTAAGAAAGAGGAGCTCCTAACTTTCTTCTCTTCCTCCGCTACCACATATTAGTTAATTACCTCTCGGTCTCATAGTCTAACACATGGTTTATATTATTATTGGTCTAATTTACGTAATTCTTTCTTAAGTTCATGCATAAATCACTAAATCAATTGAAAGATGATCAGGTTTTCAATGCATTAAGTTTGATAATATAAATTCCTCATGCAAATAACTTTAATTGAAAGCATAAAATCACAAAATTTATATTAAATTGATTAGGCTACATTGTAGTCATAGTAGAATAAATTAGTTCATAATAAAAATAATAAAACTTGAAATTATAGTTATGGACATTCAAATATCAAACATAGATAAAAAAAATTTAAAGAAAAACAAAACTCAATCTAAGGAAGTTAAATTCCTTGATCTTTTATTATTGATGGATCATTTATCTTGATTTTCAAGAATACTCAAAAGAGAGCTGTCATTAGCTTTCACTAAGCTCTTATAATTCTGAATTTGAATAGGTATTTATAAAGTTTTAGAAACTCTAATTGAAATAAAAGTGAGATTTAAAACAGAATGGGAAAGTTGAATGTTGGACGCTGAACGTATGGTGTCAACACCCGAATTAGGTGTCGACACAAAACAAGAAATAGAAAGTTTGATTCTGGACTATTAACGTATGGTGTCGACACCCAGATTGTGTGTGGACACTACACTCGTGTCGAGTTTCTGGCTTCCTTTTGCAATTTCTTCAATGGTAAAATAACAGGTCTGTCCTCCAGATTTTGTACAACGAGCACTTAGATCATAGTAGTTTAAAAATTTGATCATGGCAATCAAAGGAAATAGTTAAATTATAGTAGTGTATACACTTTTCAAATTTTAAATAAAATTAATCCCTACACTTAAACAAGCTTTACTAAAAAATTTACAACAAAAAAAAAAAAAGGTATGAATCCTATTAGCAGACATTCCAAAACCCCATCATGGTTTTCATCTTTCAAGAAATCCATTAAACATCATTTTCCAAATTTCTCCCAACTCATCCCAAAATCAAAATAAAAAATTAAAAGGGCAAAAAAGTCAAGATGTACATTTTCAACATTAATATCCTTGTATTTTCTAATGCGAGCAAGTATAATTTTTTGTATTGATCTAATTATAAGAGGAAGAACATGTAAAGCTGAAATGAAATCTATTTATGAATTAGATAAGGACAAAATTTTAGATATGCTTTAAATCAATTTTAGTTCTAAAGATTTATTAATTAGGGGCAAAAAATAAAAAAAAGTCATGCTTAGCTTCTTGCCTGCATATATAAATAATGTGCAAATGAAATTCAATTGTAACTCTCAATTATTTGATTCATTATTTAATAATTAAATCTAAAATTCCATTTATTTTTACAATTTTTTAATATTTTAATTAGAGAAAATTTATTCCATAGGTTACATTTTGAGAGAGTTTAATTTAATGGTTAGCTTATTAACTAATAATTTAATTTAATTTTTAGTTTAAAAAGTTAGTTTT